AACCGAGAAGGCCCCATCAAGTATGCAAATGGTAGGATGTTATAGGATCACCTGGAACCCTACTCTTTCTGTCCTTGCACCCTTAACTATACTGAACTCGGCACCCTTGCAAAAATTCTCAAAACAGATTGTAACAGCAGACTTACCTTTGGTTAGTAGGGAATGGACGAATGGTAGTATTAGTAGTTAAAATTGTACCCCAATCCTCCATTCCCTACTAACCCAAGGTAAGCAGACCCCCTAAATCCTAAAGACCCCTACGCTCTAAACCCTAAAACCCTAAATCCTAAAACCCAAACCCCAAATGCCCTAAATCCTGAAGACCCCCCAAAGAACTTTGAGCCTTGCTCCAGCTCAGACAATCGGCTCAACCCTGAAGCCCAATCCACTGCGGTGTTTCACGTTTAGGATTTTAGGGTTAAGATTGAACCCTGATAATAATAACAATAATAATAATACCAATAATAATAATAGCAATAATAATAACAATAACAATAACAATAACAACAACAATAATAATAATAATAATAATAATAATAATAATAATAATAATAACAATAATAATAATAGTAATAATAATAATAATAGTAATAATAGTAATAACAATAATAATAATAATATGTAATGGGGATGGTCTTCTGGGACTGGCTTGGGTCTGTCTTGTGGTTAATGTGGCAGGGTCTTCGGTTTTTGTTTGGTCTAGGACCTAGGACTTAGACTCATGCTTTATTGCAGTCTTGTGGCCCAACCATCTGCAAGAACTGCGGCGGACTTGTATCAGTGTGCGTGCGTCAACAGTATCAGGCTTGCATTTTGCAGAGGCCGGGCTGGCCACGAATGCCACCGCAAGAGGACTTCTTGCGAGTGCTATCGCAAGTTCGAGTGAATCTCGGGTAAGGGCTACTCACACAGGTTCTGAACTAGATGGCTTGGCTGTTGGTGTTGAAGAACCCTGAACCCGAAACCAAAACCCTAAACCCTCAAGAAAGAAACAAATAGAAATTGCTTGTCACTGCTTGCGTTGAACACCCCAGACCGTCAATTTCAAATCCAACCCCAACCCTAACCCCCAGTGCCAGGGCCCCAGCCCAGCCCCTCCTAGCCCCCAGCCCCCAGCCTCCCGGCCCAGGCCCCGACCCAGAAAACTTTACGGGCCATGCGCACAGTCAAGCCACGCCCATCCCCTAGCCCGGTCAACGAGCCCCCACCTCGCCCAGCCCGCCCAACAACCAGCCCAGCCCAGCATCAAACTCCCCAAATCAGGGTTCAGTCGGAAAACCTGCTCAAAATGTTTCGGTCAAAGCGTTTTTGGCACCCAAACAGTTAACAAATTCTATAAACCGTCCAGCCCAGTCGCTGCCAGGTCATTGAGAACTTGGGAGCAACCCTGCTACCCTTCAACGAAGTCTGAAGCATCCCTGCAAAACCCTTCTATCCCAAGTCGGACGATCCAACATCCCTGTACCCCAGGGTCTACAACACGTTTCTGTGCGCCAGAGGTGCGGAATGCTAGGGAGTATGCTCAGTGGTCTACATCTATGCTCTGTTGTGGCATTGCGAGACATGCATTTGTGGTCAGTCTGCGTTGAAACAGCAGGCAGGAATAGACATGCAAGGCTGCCTGCCCCAACGCGTGTCATTGACGTGTGAGCTGCTGGCCAAACATGTCCGGTCTAGTGGCCGTGTATTTGATCAAGGCCCTTATGTATCTCCTAGAAAAGTTTTGTAGGGATTGTATGAGGACATTCGTACTAGTCTTTCAGACACATGGTCAGGGTTGTGGGTTTGGGGCTTAAGATTGGGGTTCCATCATCACCCCAGGGCCGTAAACCCTCAACCCGAAAGCCCTAAACCCGAATAGTCAGACTAGGCCCGGTTCTGGCAAGCCGTTCAGCTTCAAGACTAAGAATTTCCAAGACTGAAACGAACTCTGGTGGGTTTGTTCTCAACTTTTCTTTGACCTTGGCCGTGCAATATTTTACCAAGAGGATCCATATACACTACAATTATGGAATCAGGTCCCGAAAACCGTAATGGGGAGGGTCTTTTGGGACCAAATTCCATAATGGTAGTATATATGGACCCTCTGGGGTTAGAGACTTTAGGCTTAGGGTTACTCGACTATGTACCAGTCTGCACACCAGCATCATTCAGGAACTGTCAGCTCATATGGGTCGTTGGATGTGAATGTGTCAACTAGAATGTTGATTTGTTTTTTGATGCCCGCTGAAAAATGTTGAATGACGTTTTTTTCGTAGCGGTGAAGTGATCTTCATGACCATGGCAGGAACGGAAACCACTGAACGACAAGTGTGGAAGCAAAGCATGATGGATATATGCTAACACATACAGAACAATTGCCACAACTCCCTCTTAATAGCGAAGACACTGTGGATGATTGGGGGATCTTGGTTTCCTTGGTTGGGTGGCGATGGCCCGGGGATCATCGTCGGGAATCATCGTCTTTAGGATCGTAGGAATTAGGCACGGAGCCGTTTGTTTGTGCTCAGATTTGTGGTGTAGGGCCAATGTTGAATCCCCGTGAACCCTAAACCCAAAACCGAAATCATAAACCCACTCCTGAGCAATAGCCTAGACCCGAAACCGCTAGTTGACGTGGGAAGCTTGCAGACAGCTTCTTGCTCGAAGTTGCCGGCGGTGGGCCCTGTAGGACTTGAAGGTTCTGCCTTATACTCACATACGATATAGTTTGGGGTTGCATAGGTCAACAATGACCAAACTTCTTTGAAACCAAAACCAGATCATGCATCGGCAGCACACATCGGTTCGTTCGTTCGTCGATCCTGACCTATCCCTTTCGGGAAGGTGCTTCGGGGTGCGGTGCAAAGCTACACGCAGAGGGAGCCTAGGAAATCGGTGGTGTCTTAAAGCTTGAGTGCTTGTCAGCCTAAGGCTGAGGAGCCCTTCTGCAGGCTTAACTGTGAGCCAGTTCCATAAAACATATCCCTACAAAAAATCCCGAACACCAAAACCCAACAAGTTAAGTCCTAGCAGCTATCCCGAAGAGAGCCTAGGAATGCAGACCTCTGATTAACGAAATCCCTTTGTTTGAAGGCCTCAATAAATAGCGGGATCCCAACTGTAGTCTATGTCCTGGAGAGGGGTTCTTTAATGAAAGGTCTACATTACTCGTAAGCCTGAGGGTGATGGAGCCTTGAGTGCAAGAAGTGGGTGTGTAGGGCTCTCGGATATTAGGATTTACAATGCCCACCTTAGAACCATCATAAAACTTGTGCTTAATATTCTCTTGGGTTTTATATGAACCAACATACAAGAACCCTAAGGAGACAAAAGTTTAAGGTGCAGGATGGTTTATGTAGGGATTCCAGAAGGGTTCTATATGGGCTTCGCCGGGAAGCGTTGAAGAGTTTTGAGTGATAGGGCTGGGCAGGTTGGAATTTTTGAGGTTAGGGATAATATTGGGGCTGCCGCTCTGTGATGCATTCCCAAACTTGGATGCAAGCCTAAACGTCTAGGCGCCTCGTAATAGAGGGCACTACTTGGGGTTAGGGTCGTCGTAACTGCAGGCTAGCATTTAGAACAGTACATGACTATATAAGTAGTAGTCATTTGGACAAGTATTGCGAGTCCTTCAATTCGACCAACATCGCAAAAATGCTTTGAGATTCACTCTGCTAGAGTCGTAAGGGCTGCAAGGGATACTATGACTAGCTATTCCTAAGTCAAGCTAAACCCTCCATGTTACAAAGCTGAACCCTGAACTCTAAATCTACTATGTACTCAGACTTCTATACTATCATACACCCTCAGACTTATAGGACTGCACACCTAAGGTCCTCGGATTTGGGTTTGGGAGCTTCGCTTCAGGATTCAGGAGCTGGTCAGATAAAGCACATGTCCCCAGAGGGTCCATATACACTACTATTATGGAATTAGGACCCAAAAGTCCATCCCTATTATGGCTTTGGGGACCTGATGCTATAATGGTAGTATATATGGACCCTCTTGGTTCATTTGTAAGGGAGAGAGGCGTGCAAGCATGTTTAGGCCACTTGAATCCTAGGCTCCCGCGGAAAGTGAAATTCGCGCTTTTTCGTTAATCCCTCGGAGAAATGCCGGGATGCGCATGTGGTACAGCATGGCAAACAATTTTGGCTGGGTCCGCTCAAAAACTAAACTCTCCATCACACCCTGTTTTGCCACAACTCTGCTGCACTTCAACCCTGCTCTCCGGGCCCAACTATGCCCTGGAAACACACCGTACGAAACCAACATCCCGAGTACCGGATTATTGGATAGTTTGGGAACACAGCGTTTAACCCATGGTCCACAAAGCTTACCCAGAGGGTCCGCATCTACAACCACTATGGAATGAGGCCCTACAAGACCATCCTTGTCATGGATATCGGGGTAACCCCATAACTCGCCAGACCCTGAAACGTAAACCCTGAACCCCAACTTAGGTGTTCCATGCTGGGCTTGAGGTTTAGGGAAGAGGGTTTTGAATAGTGTAAGCAGTGGTGATCTGGGCATCTGCTCCTGCTTAAGTGCTTTGTTCTGCAAAGAGCACAGCACAATCTGATTGGAGGCCAAAAGGGGGGTTCAAGATTCTTGCAGTAGGGATTCCTTAATATGAACCCTATTATGGGAACCCTAATCCCTACTAAACCCCCATGGGCTAAGACCCCTTTTGGCCTCCTATGACAATCTTGTCAAGTCGCCCTCAAGTGCCTAAGTGTCAACACCCGCCCCCTGGGCTCCGGAGGTTTTTGCGGCCTAACGTAAACAGACCTATACCGAACTTCGAACCCTATCAACAAATTGTAATTTCAGCTGATTCTTAGGGATTATAATAACAAAAAATAAACATTATTTCTAAGTACCCCTAAGAAACCTTGACCCCGAGTGCAAAAAGCCGAAACCTTCTTGCAGTCCCTACAAGTAGGCTACAACTGGCAATGGTGGTACACTCCCGACATCAGCTTCTAATAAACGTAATAAGCGGGCCCACCCAAGGATCAGAAGGAGTCCGACACAACCTGCTCATTATTCAGGTTCGATTGCTGCGTCGAGGCACGCCGTAGGAGTACTGCCTGTCCTCGGGCCGATCTGCGAGTGTATATACCCCAGCATTAGAGATCTTATGGCTTGGGGTAGGGCCTAGGATTTTGCAGGGTCTGCAAAAGTTCCAAAAAATGTAGGGCCCTGTGCAGTGGAAGTCGAATTTCAAGAGCTAAAAGGGTACTACTGGAGAAAACCCTAAACCCTAAACCCTCAAACCCTAAACCCTAAACCCTAAACCGTTCTCCTGCTGTTGTTTTGGGATCTGGGGCCATGTAGAAGGTTTCTTGATTGAGGGCTCAGGATTGGGGCTTCATCGTTCTCCCAGCACCGGCTGTAGACGGTAAGGGACGGAGGTTCTGGTCTCTACCTTAACCTACCAAAACCTACCTTTTTTTGTAGGGTCCCTATACCTTTCATATTAGGGTTTATAATAATAACCTACGGAAGTAGGGTTGGGTAGTTTAAGGTAAGTATATATTGCAGCCCCTGGTGCCCCTGCGCCCTAGGGGCAAGTACCCCAAACAGTAATACGGTAAACCCTAAACCCTTAAGCCCTAAACCAGCTATGTACGGTGATGTCATACGGTCGACCTGTTAAAACCCTGATGGGCGCTGAAAAGGAACCACGTTAACCAACCAATGCGAGAGCAATATCGCCTACAGTAGCAGAGCTGTGCAAACGCGGTTTGCAAAAACCCAGGTCCAATAACAGTCACACAAGACCCTGAGGCCTTAACCCTACACATTACAAGCCCTTTTGAATCTTAAGCCTACTTAAAGGATCATGGGACTTAGTAACCAGGGCTATTAGTAGGGTAATATACTTATAAACCCAATTAGGGGACTTATACCCTTACTTACTAAGTCCCATGATCCTCCAAGTATACCCTGAACTTAAACCCAGGCCCTAAACTTTAAAAGCCCTTTGAATCATGACCGCTGGAAAAGACGAGCATCGTGGACCCTTGCCCTTCTGGAGCACCGCTTCCTTCCGACTTTTGGGATTAGGGTTTAGGGGTGTGGGCCTAGGGGTTAAGAGTTGGGGTTTGGAATCCTAGCATAATGAATTAAGAACCCTGGCCATATAGCCCCAAAATAGTAGGGCTCATATTAAGAACCCTGATAAAGACCCAAGGTTTCTTAATCGGGTTCCTATATTAAACCCTAACTTTGGGGTTCTTAAAGATCAATATAGTACCCTGAACAGTAGGATCCTTATTACAAGGACTCCAACATACGATTCTTGGCCCTAAACCCTGAATCCTAAACCCTAAAACCCCCAAACCCTAAACTATACTTCAGGGCTCTTGGAGTACATGTAAACGTTACGGCTCAGGTCTCCGACTTCCTGGGGGCGAGAAGCGGCAGAAGTATGTACTGCGATGGATAAAAGCCTAAGGCCTCAGGGTTTAGGGATTATGTAGGGGTTTAGGGGATGGCAGGCTTACGGGGCTTAGGGTCTAGGGGTTGAGGGGTTTAGGGTTTAGGGGTCTAGGGTTTACGGGTTTGGGGTTTAGGTGTTTAGGTTTTTTTTAGGGGTTTAGTTTAGGTTTTCCAAGAGGAGATCTATCTCGAACCCTTGGCGAACCCACGCAAAACCGCTATAAAAACCCATAACACCCAAACACACCCACAGTGACTTTTTTTAAGAACCACTACAAGGATTAAACCCACCTTTTGAATGACTTTTTTTAAGAACCAATACAAGGATCAAGCAAGTATAGGGTTTTACGGAATACGAATACGATGATGTACTGACTATTGCGGCGGTCATACAGTCTTTGGGCCTCCACACAGCAACTGTGGGTCCTTCACGCCTTGGTAAAATGCTGAGGAGTTCTTGAAAGAAACCTTACCTACTATTTGCTTAAGAACCCCCCAAAATAGAAAATATATTCCTTATGGGGGTAATATAGGGATTATTATTTTTATTCTTTGGGGGTTTCTTAAGCAAATAGTAGTTACAGCGTTTTGGAGCCTTGAGGTAAACGGACAGTTCAACAATCAAGTGCTAATCTTGTGACTGAGTTTATTATGGGAATGGCAGCTGGCATCTGGGGAGTAATTATACTTAGTTGCTGAGTTCATAAGCCTCCAGAAATGTACACTTTTCGCTTTATAGTGTGTAGTGTTAGTCCAAAAAGTGTAAAGTGCATCCACTCAGCTCCTAAGTATACGTGCCAGCATCCCTCTGAACCTCCCGAACATGATCCACCCACAGAAGCCGAACTCAAGCCCGTAAACCCCAACACGTCAACTCGAACACCTCCTCGGACCCGGAAACCCAAACACACTCTAACCCTAAGGGTCTCATATACTCTCAATAATGGTAGCTGGTAGCCTACATAAGTACTATATATCCTGAACCCAAGTGCCTAATTATTGAATCCTTTGGACCCTTGGGGTAGGACACCCAGAGTCCCCTGCACCCTAAACCCTATAGATCCCTTAAAGGAACCCCTCTTTCTTGGATCCTTTAAAAGGGACCCTTTTGGGAAAATGTTGTCGGGAGCTTCGTCTGGCCTCAATTCTTCGCTGCTGCGCCATCATCATCTCAAGCAGATCGGCACCTGGGAAACGGGTCTAGGCCTTAGGGTTCATAGGGTTCAGGGTTTATAGGGCTAAGAGGGTTTATAGGGATTACAGGGCTTATAGGGCTTCTAGGGTGTAGAGGGTTACAGGGTTTAGGGTATAGAATGTCAGGGGTGGGATGCCGCAAGAATGGTAAGTAGGGGCTCCGGCACAGAACAATACCATTCGGGGCAGTGCTGGCGGCCTACAACCCTCCCACTCGAGTACTTAAAAGGATCATGGGGCTTAGTAACTAGAGTTATTATTAGGAGAACTACACTTAGAACCCCACTCTTACCTACTAAGTCCCATGATCCTCCTAGTAGTAGGGCTTTCGGCCCCCAATCCTACACTCAGAATGGCTTAAGCCTTGAAGTTCTTTTTTTGAGCTTCGCTCGTGAGTCCATGTCTTAAGGGCCACAAAAAAACGAACAGGCTTCAGGTATATATTTCAGAAAGGATATGATTATGAGAGCTCTACGGACTAGTATCGGCAACAATTTAGGCCCCCCACAGTACCTTAGTCGGGCTTGCAATGTTCAAGAATCAGTGGGAAGTCCGCTCGAGCCCCTGATGAGTCCAGCTCTACACTCCAAAACTCCGAACTTCTGCACCGCACCGACCGAAACCCCGAATCCTGTTGATCAACCCCAAACCCCAAAACTTCAAGCTGCTTCCGCAAACCCAACAACAGTAGTACTCAATCACATCGGGAAACACGACAATGCACTAAAATCGACCCGATCAAACGCCCTACCCACCCACCCACCCCCCAGCTCGAAAAGCTACATAGCCCCCCCAGCCCGAACTTTAGAACATAAAATCCAAGGGACTTCGGTTCTCGTTCACAAGTTGGCCTCCAAAGTATGGCTTTTGAGGTTGGGGGCTTTGGGTTAGGGTTTCGGGCTTAGGGTTTGGGCCTAAACCGTAAACCCTGGGGCCTAGGGGGTGAAGCAACTTTTAGGAGCGTGTGGTGTCATGTTTAGGTGGGAATCCGGGTGCAAATGCCGCCAACAAACGTACATGGATGTTCGGGCATTGTGATATAAGCTGTAACTGTCAGAAGCATTACAGTAGTAGTTCAGTAGTACTCAGAACTTCCAAAATCCCTTAGTTGAGTAAGATACCTTAAATCTGCAATATGCCTTAAATCTGTCAGGATCCTTGATATGATTTAAGGAATACTCCTCAATAAAGGAATCTTGGAAGGTCTACCTAGTTCGTCTAGACTGCGGTCAATATTTCGACAAAGCGGGGTTACAGAATATTCACAGTTCATAACGGTTCATCAGTGAGACCCCACAACCCATACTAAAACCTCACCCCAACAGATGGATCCCTCAAACCTCAAAAACCTTACAGCCCTCATCCGCAAGCACAGTGCACCTAAACTCTCACACCAATAAACCCTCAACCCTTAGATCCTTCTGCCCTGAACTCCGGCGGCGCCTGAGAGGACTTGATAACTCTCTGCAGTGAGCAGAACCTTCGGGGCAGATGTGTTCTTCTTGGGTTCATCCCTAGAGTATATCTGTAGAGCTTTAGGGGGTTCGGGTTGACTGTTTGGAGTTCCCTCATAGCTAAAGAAACAATGATAAACAAATTCGCTATGCTCGGGGGTTAGCCTTTGGGGGACGGGTGGGGAGGGGTAGGGCGTCGTCGCGTTCAAGTACTGCTTTCCAAATTGTTACCGATAATATCCCGGAAGGAAGCAGAGCAGCCCAACCTGCTCTATCCTTTTGCATCTAACTTTCTATATCTAACTTCCTGTCTATCTACCTATCTCTCTGTCCGTCTATCTACTTCTCTACCTATCTGCACATCGTCATATCTGCTGATTGACCTGTGTCCATCTAGATCCCACCAGTGAAGGATCTGTATCCGGCAACTAAGCTCTAAACCCTTATGCGGATCACGGATTTGCTGGGATTCCCCATGAAAGCAAGCAAGAAGCCGTCACTCCGTGCGCGTGCTGCACGATGCGTGAGTAGTCCAAGCATTGCCGGAGCAACCGCACCTGAGTTGGGGTTTTGGGCTTACGGTTGAGGGACATTTAAGGTTTAGGGTTCAGGGTCAATTGCAGAATCTGGGGTTTGGTTTTCTTGCCTGAAAAAACCTACTGTTGATGGACAAAATCCTGCATTACCCTTTATAAGGAATATACCATAGTTCCCATAGTTTAGAGTCCTTAGGGTCATGCAGGATTTTGTCCATCAGCAGTAGGAGTTCAAAAGTGTGTGGACTAGCATCATGATAGTGTCATTACATTAGTCTTATAGGTTACATAGTAGTATCGGTTTGGGGTTTAGGGCCTTAGGGTAGCTCGTCTTGGGCTTTGATTCTTTGACTTCCGGGATTCAGGCTTGGAGCTTGGTTTTGAGTCAACCCCGAGCCCCAACCGGCGTAAGTCCAGAACTCAATATCCTACGGTTGATGATATAAATCCTGCATTACATTAAGGGCCCTAAACTATGGGAATTATGGTATATTCCTTATAATGGGTCATGCAGGATTTATATCATCAACCGTATTGGGGCTGGTGAGTCTGCATAGACGGTCGTGCACTTTTGCGGAGTATCTACTTCTCTATGAGCAGGATACTGACCATCGAACTAGGTAAGGGCAGGGTATGAGCCTCTGGTAACGTTTCGGTGCAACCCTGACCCCTTAGATCATAAATCAACGCGTTAAACCCTGAGCCGCTACAGAACGCTTAGAAGAACCCCCTAATGGGATGCTAGGGTTTGGGGCTAGCCTAAATCCTGAATCCTACTTCCTGCAGACAGTTGTGGCTTTCTGTCTCCGACGTGGCTTTGGACCTTGCCCTTTGGCATGTGTTCGAAGGCCTGTAGAGCCTGCAGGGCCTATATGAGTCCACATAATTTTTTTGTTGGCTTTGCGAAGCCCTTACTTCAAAATGCGGCAGACATCTTCCACCAAGTACTCGTTATTCAGGGGCTTCGATACTTAGAAGAGGCTCTGCATTTAGTCTTTCCTAATATGGCCCTAATAAGGATCCCTAATGCGCAGCTCCTTAAAACAGAAAGCCTAAGTAAAGAGACCACCGACCTATATAAAGTATATGGACTTTCTAGGCCCTAAACCCTAAACTCCTCAAGGTTATGACCCCCTTGCAGGGACCTACGTCCACAATGGTAGTACATACCTAAGCCCTCGAACTACCCTAAACCCCATACCCTAAACCCCTAAACCCCAAAAGGAACCCTAAGACCCTTACCCTAAGGGTCCATGTACCCATATAGAGATACATGGGCCCCAATGTACCTGTCTAGGGACTACATTAAGGCCAATGTATATACTATCTGAGTACATGGAGCCTTGTGCCCTAAACCCTCATCGAAGCCTTATAGATCCCTTAAAGGATCCCTTATGGCACCCTTAAAGGATCCCTTAGCTATATGAGTACATGGACCCTTAGGGTTATAGAACTGTAGCATCCTGTACTGAATCCACGTTCTGATATGGACCCATATGGGAGTTTCCGAAAATTAGGGGTATCTTATCTGGGGTCCCTATAATAAGAATCCTACGACTCAGGGTACTATGTTAGGGTCCCCTATTTTCGGAAACTCCCATATGGGAGTTTCCGAGAATAGGGGACCCTAAAAGAATACCCTGAATAGTAGGATCCTTCTTATAACTATAAAGACCCCAAAATAAGGTACCCCTAATTTTCGGTAACTCCTGAGCCCTAAACCCTAAACCCTCCCTTATGGGAACCTTTAAAGGAACGCTTATAGCTCCCTTTAACGGTACTCCAATTTTTCGGGAACTTCCATACATGGACCCTCTTTACTTAGTCTTTAGTCCCGGCGTCGTCATCGACTTCTTTGGCTAAGGCCGCGAGCGAGGAGATATCCACCTTTTGGGGTTCAAGGTTTAGGGTTTGGGTTTAGGGTTTGGGGTTTATAGGATTAGGGATTCAGGGTTTAAGCTTTAAGGGTTCAGGGCCTAGGGTTTGGGGTTTATAGGGTTTGGGGTTTTGGGGTATAGGGTTTAAGTAGATTTAATCTGGGTTTGGGTTCAGGGACTGTTGGTGTTGGTAGCCTTGTGTATGTCTTTGCTCAATTTCTCCTCTTTTTGGGGGCGAGGGCGGTGGGCCCTGAACGTCTAGGAGGCAACGCTCATTCATGGTTGGGATAGGAGTGAAAAACACATTTTTTATTCCTTATTGGGTTTAAGTACACATAAAGATGTAAAATATTTCACCCTAAACCCTAAACCCTAAACCAACTATGATAAGATAAGGAATGAAGGTCGGGTCAGGGGTCTAAGGTTTGCCGGGTTTACGGCTTTCAGGCTCTCAAGGTTTGGAGTTTTAGACTTGTGGGTTTTACCAGGATCCCCCAATGGCCATTTAATGGAGCCCTTATGGTCCGTAATTGTAGCTATTTAAGGCATATTCGAGGGTAGTTGGGGGGATCCAGGTATATACTACCATTATGGAAGTAGGTCTCTATAAGCCCTAGTTAAGCCCATTTAGGCTTTAGGGTAGTGTGTGGGCTTTAGGATGTAAACGTTCCACGACAGTCCCGGGTTCGCAAGGCTCAAAGGTCTGGTTTGTCTTGGAAACTGAGACTCCGCTCTGAGGCTAGATAGGATGTAGGGCTTAGGGTTCAGGGTTTAGGATTTAGGGTTGCGCGTTTGGGGTCCAGGATGTTAGTTTTGGGTTTGGGGATTGACTTTGGGGGTTTACGTCATTGGGTTTCGGCGACGACAATGATGTGGACGGGGAGCAGGACGATGAGGACGATGAACAAGCCGGTGATGCAAATGATGGTGATGATGATGATGATGATCGTGATGATGATACTGATGACGATGCTCACTATCATCATCGTCATCATCGTCATCATATGATGCCAGGACGATGATATTAACAACCACAGTGGGGAGCATACCCCTGTACAAAATCAGAAGACCACTGTTTCCGCTGAAAGCTTGTCACAGTCGGAAGCCTCAAGAACTCACACTTCATCCGCCGCACCAACCCCAAACCCTGATCGAGTTCCCTGAACACTCGCCTCCACTGTTAAGAGGCACATCAAGCTCTAAACCCCAAGAGCTTTTGAACATCCAATGAACACGGCACCCTGAAAATATGCTTGACTCCCAGGTTCAGCAACTTGAAGTATGTAAAATGTGTCACGGCTTTGCCGACATCCCAAACCCCCAAAATCCTCTGGAGTTTAGGATGTAGAGCATTTGAACCCTTGAGCCTGTACGGAACACTTTGCAAAGCCTTGACAAGACCCTTGACAAATAGAGCCCGAAAAGGAACTGTTAACACTAATTGTTAAATCATCCACCAAGATGGCCGGTTGCAGACAGCTCGTTGTGACTTTTATACTATGTACTCGAACCCTTCCGTTTGCAAAACCCTAAGACCCCTATGCAGATGGCTTGAGGGCCCCTATACCCCCAAAACCCTTCACCTTGCCTTGACGGTGTAAACCTCCGCGCTGAGGCAGCGGTGCATCAGCAGCCTGGATGCATGTTCTGATGCGTGCGTGTGTGCGTGTGTGTGTGTGTGTGGGTTTATGATGTAGCGGATGGTTGAGGGGCTATATAGGTCTTCGGCTTGTTAGGGTTTGGGTTTAAGATTGAGGGCTGGCAGGTTTACGGCTTGGGCTTTAGGGCATTGGGCTGTGGTTGTGAGGCAGTTGTCCCCGACCAAGCGTGGATGTCTCAAACCAGGCCGGGTCCTAGACCCTAAGCCCTGAACCTGAACCTAAGTGGTCAAGGAACGTGTGGGCCTGTAACCGTGGCATTTAGTAGTTTTGTTGTCATGGTGGATGCCGAGCAATAACAGCTGCTTGTTTAATGAGGGTATAGTGAAACGCTTAGGGTGGAAAGAATTGGCGACAGCATCTGCGGACCTGCCACTGCCAAATCGAAGAGGATACTGTGTGTAACACCTATGCCCTCAGCTTGCTCAACCCCTTATACTGCATTACCAAATCCTCATAAAATCCCTCAGTGATCCCTTATCATGCCCTTGTAGACCTGTTTCGAAACCTTACGGATTTGCACGGAACTCGCAAACGAACCCTATACCCCAATAAAACCTAAATCCTAAACCGGTTCCGATGCCCCCGAAACGCCGATATCGCCAAGGCGCTTATTGTAAAGCTCCACCAGGAATTGGAGTCCGCGCCCTGGCAGGAGGGAGGTTTTGGAGTTTCCCTATATATCGGTCGAAAGATCCAATACTTAGGGGTTTAGGGTTGTTTAGGGTTCAGGGTTTTTGGGTCAGGGTTTAGGCACTCATGTTTTGGATAGTAGATATGTAAGCTCAATTTTTCGAGAGTATGTAAACCCTAAACCTTAAACCCCTAAACCCTAAACCCTAAACCGCTAAACCCCTAAAGCCCCTAAACCCTATGGCTGGGTACTTGAACCCTAAGGGCTGGGTCATTGAGAGGGGTCGTTCTAAGCAGGGCTTTGCGGGGTATCAACGGGTTTCGTGCAGTTTTGCAGGCTTGAAAGATATTCACCGTGTTTTAAGGGCGTTTACAAGCTAGGTTCCCAGTGCCTCTCCATAACGAGGCGTCCCTTCTCTAGTTCGATCACTTTCAATATTCATCCAAGGATGAAGAACGCATGAAGGTACCGCGGGGCTACGCCCCACCTTGAGCTATCGAGACCTACTCGTTGTCGTAGGGTCCATGTCAACATGGTATTGAGAATTTTCGGAAAAAAACTACGAAGAGTAGCGCTTACCCTAAACGCCTAAACCGTCAAAACGAGGCAAGCCTTTTCAGACTTTGCGTCCGCAGACCTGTTTCATGGGTTACGCTACTCTAGCCTACCGCTATGTAATAAGCGACTGCGTTGATAAGCAACGTAAGTTTACTTTTGTCGAAGAGAAAGGCTCCCAAACAGAGCCCAACGACAATCAATTGCTGCACAGCCAACGCGGCTTGTAGGGAGGCTGCTGGGGCTCATCAACCCTAGAAACTGATTAACTGGACTTGCCCTAAGGGTCCATGAACTCATATAGTATATACATTGGCCTTAATGCAGTCCTATATAGGTACTTTGGAGCCAAAGTCTATACTATTTGGGTACATGGACCCTTAGGGTTGGAAACCTGGAGTAGCCATGTCCACTGACACTCTGCGAAGGCAAACCCTCAAACCTTCTGACCCAACGGCAATCGAGGATTTAGGGTTCAGTGGTTGGGGCATCGCGACAAGCACTCACCCGAAATGTGCCTGCCACTACGTCGCCTCTGCATTTACGCTCAAGCCTCATATACAGATTGATTCAAAAAGACGAAATTCAGTGCATCTGCAGTGCCTCAAAACATAGCAGTGCAGAGGGCCTAGCCGTAAACAACCCAGCAAACTCACAAAGCCATATCACAGCGTTGTTGGACCAACCCGAAACTCCTGAATCTTAAGCCCTAAACCCCGAGCCCTCGATGCCTCGGCAAACTGAAACTCTGAACCCTAAACCTCCAACCCCCCAAACCCCCAAACCCCCAACCACATTGGATATAGAATATTATAGAATAGTATAGATTTAGTGAATTACAGTGTGTTCTAGTCTATTATAGTATCTTATGGTATATTATAGTATATTATTGTAATATTAAAACCCCCCAAACTCGGCGAGAGCGGCGCAGGCCCAAGTCAAGGTTTGCCACGGCATTGGTCAAGAACATCGGCAGGTAGAGGAAGATAAAGGCCTGTCCCAGCGGATCCTTTAAAAGGGCTTTAGGGTTTATAGGGCGTAGGATTTAGGGTTTAGGGTTGGGATTTAGGGTTTAGGGCTTAAGATCCTTTAAAGGGGGTAGGATTTAGGGTCTAGGGTTGGGAAAAAAAGGGTTTAGGGCTTAAGATCCTTTAAAGGGGGGTAGGATTTAGGGCTTAAAGCCTCTTCCCGAGGGTCCATATACACCATTACCCTTGGCCTCAAAATAGCCCAAAAGCCTTATATAACATGGTCTTTGAGCCCAAAAGCCATGATATATCATCAAAATAGCCCAAAAGCCTTATATAACATGGTCTTTGAGCCCAAAAGCCTTGATATATCATCAAAATAGCCCAAAAGCCTTATATAACATGGTCTTTGAGCCCAAAAGCCTTGATATATGAGTCCTTAGATGCCTAGGGTTATGGCTATGGAATCCTTTAAGGGGGTACCATATAAGGAAACCCAGAGGCTCCAAGTGCTCCCGATCATTTTTGGACTGTAGGGCATGTTGATCGGTCTCAGAAGCCATAAACCCAGACCCCCTTTGGAGGATCTAGAAAGTAGATCCCCTAATTTAGGGCCATATACTACTAAGGGTGCTTTATAGGAACCCCCATTTAAGGGATCTACTTTTTGGATCCTCCCGGGGGTCTGGGAATAAGGACTACTTGGAGCCGTGTTGCAGGTAAATAATAAGGAACCCCAAAATACTATGGCAATTATTTAGGCCCCTATAACATTGCCAATACAGCAATCAAAGAAGGCAAGATAGCCACAAAGGGTGAGCAACGGCAGTGGCGGTGGTGGGTCTACAGGGGGTTTAAGTTTCACAGGGCCACGCAGGTCGTACTTTCTGGGGCCTACACTCAAGGCAATGGGATCCCTGGGGTATGACTAGTGACTAGGAGAAATCATGAACCGCATGGAGTTTTGGAGCTCATGCAGTGAAACATACCCGGAACCCTAAACCTGAAAATCACATGAAGGCAGTGAACCTGAATGTAGATGCTGCTCATTAAGGTTCCTGATCCTAACTTGCGCTCATTTAATTCTACATACAAAGGCTCCTATATCTATATTGCACGGGCATCTTCCAAGGACAGATCCTCGAATCTTTCGGATTTCAGGGTTCCAGGCAAGAGTTCGAATCTAAGAGTTCCTTAGTCCTTGAAGGAAATCCCCCTGTGCGTGGACATCGTGGTACCCTATACACCCAAAACCCTGCTTGGACCTTGTGGTACAGACCGTCCGTGAGGAAAATCTCGTAGAGGGCGTCCTTCTCTGCCGCCGTCAGTGTCTCCCAATCGGAAGCCTTTGGATTGATTTGAGCTGTGAAGATGCCGTGAAGATGCCGTGACTCTTGTTAAAGCCATTGTGTCACTAAAGGTTTCTTCAGGGTTTGGTTGTGGTTGGGGTTTCGGTGTTCATGCGGCTCCGGGCTCAGGGTAGATACTAGCGTTGCTCTCTAGGTCGAGGTTTATGGGGGGCAAGGAAAAGGGAAAGGCAGCTTTCTGGTATTCACCAACCCTATAGCCTAGAACCTAGAACCGTGGGAAAGGTAGCAGAACACCTCCCTCTTCTGTGTCATGCAGTGCAACCTTTGGCCTAAAGTAGCTATATTGGAAACCTTTAAAGCGCAAGTACATACTCTTTAGGTGAATGGACCCTCAGGGTAAGGTGTAACAGGGGCTTTGCTTGTCTTCAAGTCTGTAGCAGTCAACAGCCCGAAGTAGAAGAAAAAAGAAGGGAGTGGGGGGGGCAGGGGCCGAAGAACCTTAAACCCTAAACCCTAAACCCTAGAGTTCCCCTAAGGCCGTCCTAAGTAGAGCCCCCCAGCCCTGCTGATGAAGCCCGAAAGAGAAGGTCGGAATCGGCGAACCCTAATCCCCTAACCCTCGAAGGGGAGGAGACGGCGCTCACTGTGGACCCAATAACTTAGGTGCTCGGTTTTAGGATGGTAGTTCTGTAGGTTAGGATTTTAGAGTATATGATTATTCGGTACTTGGACCCTTGGGGTTATGACACGAGCTTCATTGTTGTGAGGATCCTGAAATAACACGCTGAACTGCACCCGAACTTGTCCAAGTCGCCAAGTTTTGCAACGCATCGGACTCCACCGTCCGCGTCAGACAAGCGAGGCGTGCCTGAAAGAAACATCCCTAAGGGTCCATGTACTCATAGAGCTAAGGGATCCTTTAAGGGTGCCATATAAGGGATCCTTTAAGGGATCTATAAGGCTTCGATGAGGGTTTAGGGTATAAGGGTCGATGTACTCATATAGTATATACAGTGGCCTTAAAGTACTCCATATACAGGTACATTGGGCCCAAAATATATGCTATATGGGTACATGGACCCTTAGGGCAAGTGACATGGAAATGAGCCAGGGTAGCTACGAAGTGTACCACCGAAACTGCGGTTGTCAGCGAGATTCATGACCTTGAAGGCACACCACCTCCATCATCATCACCGACAGAATTTGTCTTCACTGTCGGTACCGACACAGCAGCATCAACATTCTTACATATGACTTTACCATCTCACGCTGAAAGCTGCTAAGCCCCAGAGACATTGAAGGTTGAAGATGAGTATGAGCCAACACCGAAGAGGCGCGATAGCCACACGCCAAACACGGATTTAAGGGCCATCTCCAGAAGATCGGATCGGGTCTAGGATTAACGGCTTAGGGGCTAGGGGTTGCAGCCTAGGCAACGGTAGGACCATACATATTTACCATACTTGGAGCCGACGTCCGGCACCATGAAACTTAAGATGTGTTCTGACAAGCTGTAGCCTCGATCCAGGGAGATCGCATCCACGAAAATCAGCTGTCTAGACACTCACCAAAAGCCCAAGTCTGCTTCATGTTTCCCTGTGGCAATGAGACGTACTCTGAACTGTCTAGCATGCTTACCGCTGGCGCGGCTGCAACTCCGCCTGGGCTGCTACAGCTGCGACAACTATGAGTCCAAATCCCGAAACCAGAACAACCGACGTCATCGTCATAAGGACTCTGAAAGGATCGTAAGGCTCGTTGTGTTTTGCATTTCTGCTTCTCATGATCATGAGGGCCTGCTCTGAATCTTGAATCTTACGGCCTGTGTTGGATCTCGGTATACGCTCTTCCTGTATAAACTAGCAGATTCCAACACCACCAAGCGGCCATAATCGAGAAAACCGAAATGCTTTTCAATTCTCGGCCAAGCTTGTCCCCTCATAGCCCGAGAAAATAGCACCCAATTCCCGTTCCACTTCGTGGAGCCCCTATCGCATCCGTTTAACAACCTTAAAAGCACTTTGCAACCCCCAACAATTCTTGATAGATCCAATATCTTAAAACTCCGAACCCCTAAATCCACAACCCTAAACCCCAAACTCCCAAGACCCTAAACCCTAAACTCCCTAAGCCCTAAACGCTCTAAACCCTAGTCCCGTGTTGGAGCTGAGAGCAGCACCAGGACCAGGTGACTCGGCGTCTTGACTTGGAGATTCCTTGGAAGGCTTTCTAAATGGGTCTACTTAAGGGGTTAAGGGTTCAGTTAAGGGGCCTTTAAACAGTATTATACGGGTTCTATAAGGGTTTGGGGTTTGGGGAGTTTTAGTCGTACCTAGGGCTCATTTAAGGGCTTCTTTACGGGTTCCTGTAAGGGTCCTGTATGAGCTCTATAAGGGTTTAAGGGCTTCGGAGTTGGGCTCAGGGGGACGAAGGAGGTGTTATAAGTCCCCTAAGCCGGGTTCTCCCCTTTAAGTAAGGGCCCAAGGTATTGTTCGGGCTTTAGGGTTTATGGTTTTGGGATCATGGGCCCATAAGGGGTCCTTTATGATGCTCGGTATAACTCTGTTTGTCGTCGCATTAAAGTTCTTTTCGGGTTTGTGTCCACTTGAACCGTAAAAAAAGAAAGGGGGCTCCTGATGTAAACCCCGACAAAAAGCATATAGCGACTATAAGAAACAAGGGCTAAGCCCTACGCTCCAAGCAACGAATTCGGGTGAGCGGTTCTTGACCTCTGAGGTTTGCGATCTGGTGTTTAGCCTCTGTTGGGAGGCACCCAGAACTACAAACCCACCAACCCTAAACCCTAAACCCTAAACCCTAAACCCTAAACCCCACCAACATGATCTCCAAGACCTGCCATCAGAAACCCCCAAGCCGGAACCCATACCAACGCCTGTCAAGGCCTCAGCCGCAAGCCAAAATCCCAGACACAAAGACCTCACGACAAGCAGCTCCATGATCTGAGAGAGATGTATATATATATATATAACCTCTCCGGACTTTGTGGCGAAGCCATCTAAAGCCCCTGAAGGACCCTCTAATCCCCCGTCATGAAATGCCTCGATGCCTTAAAGAAACTAAAAGAAAGCCTGCAAAAAACCGTCTAATGTAGGGGCCTTAATAATTAGAATATGGTTTTGAAGGTTCCTTAATATAATTATAGTATCATATACCCCCCCAAACTCTATTCGAATGATTAAGGCCCTTACAGCAACAGCCTCAGACAACCTTGACCCGAAACCGTAAACTTCGTGACGTCGCATGGAAGATCCCGCTGACCAGGCCCAGTCACAGCGCCTGTGCACGGCTTGCAATGTATCTCCAGTAGACCTGGCTCTTGTTGGGCATGTTTGGCTGCTAGACCGAAGAATAACCTGCATGACCCATGATAAGGAATATGCCATAATTCCCATAGTTTAGGGTCCTTAGGTATTGCAGGATTTATATCATCACCCTAAACCCCACAACCCTATAGATCCTTTAAAGGGAGCCCCTTAAAGGTACCCCTATAGACCCCTTTAAAGGAACCCTAAGGATTTATATCATCAACAGTAGGACCCACCCAAAGGCAAAGCGAGGAAGTGTGGCGGTTTGAGGCTCCTCATCCGAGACGTGCTGCAGGCAAGCAAGGCCTGGACAAACAGAAACAGGTGATCTGTCGCCCTAAATGTTGTTTTAGGGTTTAGCGTTTAGGGTTTAGGTTTTTTTTGAGGTTTGGCTCTTGGGGTTTATGGTTTTTGGGGTTTAAGGATTGAGTTACGTGACAGTTTACCGGATTCATGCAGGGGACTCACGGCTGGGCTTCAGGTGTCAGAACCATGCAGAATATGGCATGGTGACCCGACTGTTTTGCCATTTGGACCTCTGGGTCAGGTTTCTGGGCTCTACTTGAAGGACCGGGTGGCTTGGTAAGTAATGCTACATCGGGGTCTCATTAGTTCGAGTGAGTCTTAAACTACAGCTGAGGAGGGGTATGATTACCAATCATTCCGACGTCTCCGGATTGCGCATGAGTGACAAACCCCAGCTCCCGCGGTATGAAGTATAATGGCAATGAAAAGAGAACGGAGACGTGTGTGTCAAACATTGCTCTGCATGAGCGATTGCCCTGTAATGACATGAATCGATTAATCCCTGGATAAGAACACCCTCAAAACAAAAGCCTTACCCGATTTTTCTACTCTCTGTGATGTTCAGGACAGACAAACACTTCCTGGGTCGCTATGATCAAGGTTCTGGGATAGACTTTAAAACCTTGAAACGCATGCAGGTAGGTTCTACCCGAACCTTGAACCCGAAACCCTACTCCCTATCTAGGTAAATTTATACCCTGAATCCTAGGGAGCGAACCCTACCTAGGTAAGGTTTGTGTCGGCGCCTTTCAACAAGGAGCGGCCGTTCAGCTCGTTCAAGAACATGGAACCCTTCAGAGTCACCTCGCAGCAAAGTCGAACTTGGGCTTCAGGGGTTCAGAGCTTAGCGGTTCAGGCCCTAAACCCTAAACCCTAAACCCCTAATTTAGGGCCCCATGCTACTAAGGGTAGTTTATAGGAACCCCCACTAAGGGATCTACTTTTTGGATCTTGCCGTCTGGGAAAAAGCAGTAGCAGGATTCACCAAGCTCACCAGTTCTTCCCTCTGAGCCCAGCGGCGCGGAATCGCGGAATTAACTCCAGAGCCCGAAACACTAAGGACCCAAGACCAACACCCAAATATCCCCACACCCCAAAGCCTCAAGAACCCCAAACCCCGTTGTTGCTGAATTGGACTTCCGGCGGCTCCTGGGGGCTTTTCCCAAAAGACCCTACACCCGACCTCGTTTTGAAGTTGGGCTGTATTTCCAAGCTTTCGGAGTTCGACCGCTTTTTGCACTTCCAGTCTTGGGGCTACGGATGTCAGGCGGCTTTTAAAGTTTCGGTCTTCTACATCAGTGAACCCTCAACACGTGCTGAACCCGACACGAATCTCAACGGATCTCCATTCCTCTGCCGAAGGGCATGTCCCGTCACGCCGCACAGCATGCACACCTACAGGCATTTTCACGGCTTTTGTACCCTTTAAAACTGTTCAATTAGGGCTTAGGGTGACTTCGACTGGGAAAGACTGGGAAACACTGTGAACCTGAACCCCAAACCCTGACCCTGTAAGTCTTAAACTCCAAACTCTAAAGCCATTTGGGAGTTTTCAGGTATTCAGGGAGCCCAGCATCTGCCCTAAGTGATAGGACTCTCCACATACGGTCAAGCAAACTGGTGCGAAGTTTCTGAAACCCAGTTTATACGCATTAGTCTTGGAGTGTTGGAGATAAGGCATAGGCCTAGGGCCGAAGATTTTTGCTTGCAGATAGAAATCCAAGCAATAAGACTAGGGTCTTGGTGCGCGCTGTGCCATACTGTATGTTGGCGGCAATAGCAACTTTGATATCAAGAACTTGCAGGCAGAACGTTGAAGAGGCAGCAAGCCGTTCTTCAGCAAGATGTTGAGGGTCCTTGACGTCGCGACGTAAAAGGCCAGCCTGGAGCACACTCCGCACTGCTGATCGCGCAACATCTGCTGAAAACTCCATACCCGGCTGCTCGGCGAAGCTGCGCCCTTCCAGATGGCCTCCGGAGCAAAGGCCCAAGAATGTGGAGGCATGCCTGCCCACCGTGCAGCTGCCGTGAAACTGCACAATTTCCTTGATGCCCTGCAGCTGGTGCAGCACCTTGACTTCAGACATGTCATAGTCATGGCACAGCTCCATGACTTTCCGACCCGCGGCGCGACCTGAGAGACATCGCCAAAAGTGATTCCGGCCCAGGAGAGTCGTGTGCGACTATTGATCAGCTGCTTGACTGTAGCCAGGGTAATATAGATAGCGGCCTGAATAACTTTAATAAGGTTTTGGGCTACCCCTCATGCCACAGCTTCGGCTGACCCGAAGGAATAGTAGTTTTGACAAAGGTTCAAGAGCCTGAGAAGTATCCTGCAGTTTACAGGGAAGTGAAGGTTAGCCTTTGGGAATGCATCGGAATTCTAGTATCCACAACGGTTAAAGAGTTAAAGGTTACCTGCTCTACGACTAGGTATGCCAGCACTAACTATTTAAGCCTTACGCCCTGTCTCTCTTAGATTTGCTGGGAACCAAGCCCCCCACGCCAAAGCCTGGACAAAGTGAACTCTAAACCTACACCCAACCCTCCAAAGCCCACCACAAACTTTAAAACCAAACAACTAATCTTAAACTTGACAAAAGCTGAGCCCAGCAAAATGACGAAGCCTCAAACCTGAACTGAACGATAAAACATTCCAAAAGGCACCTGCATTAACCCTGAAGCATTCAACCACAAGTCTACACCCTACGCCGTTGGGACTCTATCAGCTCTAACCAACGGAGGGGTTCAAAACACAAGGTTTCATTAACACAGGTGTGTAAAGCTTTGCTTTTTGGTTAGTTGGGGGCAGGGTGGTGTCCAGTCAGACGTGGCCGTGGGCTTTACGAAATTTGTACGGATGAGACTTTTGGGGCTGTTGCTGGTGGGCACCCCTTTCGAAAGACCCGACCGAAAAGCGAGGCAAAGCAAACAAAAACCCATAAACCCTTTGAGCAAAATACGCCCCACTCAGCCCTGTGCAACACGTAAACTTATCGATGCTTCACAGCTCCTGGACCCGAAATTTGAAGACATTTCACACAGGCAAAATCCTGGACCTCAGATCCTGTCCCCTCTTGGAGTACGCATTGTGGGTGGTTAGTTAGTGTCCTGCCAGCGGTCCCCGAAAGAAGGCATCACCCGCGTCATAAGGACCAAGACAGGGATCCTGGTTTGGAACCTCATCACGAAATTCCTGGATGGTCATTCGGGTTTTAACATGGATCCTACTCTGAGCACATCCGCGCGGAAGCCTTATGACGCGCTCGTGCAACCCGGTGCAGACTTACACACTTACACGCTCTCACCGGATCTTGAACCTTAAGCCGATTCACAACCTTAACCCCAAGTAACCTACCTTTTTAAGGACTTATATAAAGAAATCATATTAAGGAACCCGAAAAAAAGGTACTAGTAGGTTCCTTAGGGTCCAGGAAGGCATTAGTTAAACCACACCCCCAGCAAACTCCCACCTGCACGAAGAGGTAGATGCCAAACACCTTCTCTCCCTCTTCTTGCAAGCTGCACTGCAGCAGCCAGACCTTGCTCCCACAAACGTTGTACAGAGGTTTCACGAAAGGATTCCTCTACTGTCTACTTGTTCCGAGAAGGACTCTGTGGTTAGTGATCTTGGCTACCGGTTTGGGGGGTCATCGACGCTACGAACTCTACGTCTTTTTTCTTTTGTTTGGGATCCTCACTGACCCCTAAACCACTATTACAAACTTTAAACCCTACCTAAACCCGAAGCCGTTTAAGCTTTAGGGCTCAAAGCTTTGCGTGTCAAGGTTGAGGTCTAGGGCTTATGGTTTCAAGATCGGGGGTCGCAAGTGCGGAGTCACATGACGGCAACCAGGCTGATTCAACATCCCACTACTCCCTGTACTATACGATACTACACCGTACTAAGCCATACTACAGTAATTACTACAGTATACTAACCCCTACAGTATGCAAATAAGGCTTCAGGGTTTCAGTGGGTCCTCCAAAGTCCTTGTTACACCGCGAAACCCCAAATCCCAACCCCAAATCCCAAGCCCCATAAACTACTAAACCCCAAGCAAAAAACTCAAACGCAGACAGCTGGCCGAGTGCGGGTTGTTCTCCCCCTGCAGCAGCTGAGCGAAGTTGAACTCCTTGAGCATTCGCGCCTGGGCTCGATCTTACTTTGTGATTTGTCTTGCAGTCTTTTTGAGTGCGCTTTGTGTTTGCTTTGTTGAGGGGTGGGGTAGGGCTCTAGGATTTTGAGGCTTAGGGCTTGAGGACTTTGGCTGAGGGTTTTAGCGCTTTGGGATTTTCGCATGTTGGGGTTTAGGGCTTCAGGAGCTAAAGCTTTCAGTACTGTAGGATGATGAGGTTTTAGTGCTTGCCAGGTTCCGTCAAGTTCGACTATTGAGCTTGTGCGTAAGCAAGGAGGCCCTACAGGGAACTCCAGAAAGTTGGAATATGGTTTCTTGGTAGGATACCCTATAATTTACCATGGAAGGGTTAGGATAACCATATTTCTGGCTTTTACCTTACTGGGATTTGCACGGCTGCATCTCGAAGCTTTCTATACTCGTTCGAAGGTTGTGGCCTGATGTGGATCTTGCATGAGTTGGAGGGTTTAGGACATCGACTATAGGGCAGATAGGGCATATAGGGCATGTGAGTGGTTGTCAAAATTATGGTATATACCTTTTTGGGTAACCTAAATACTAGGTGCGTACTGTAATAAGGACCCGAAAAAGGGACCCTAATATTGACAACCACCCATGTCTGAACTAGTACTAGTTACTGGAGGCCTTAACCGGCCCTTCTGGCAGGGAGCTTGGAATGCCGGGGTCTGTAACAGGAACCTGTTCTTGCCGAAAAACCTCCCGACTACTAGAGGGGCCTTGATACTCAGAATAGGGTTTGGGGCCTGGTATGCTGTACTTAGTGAGAAGGAACCCCCAAACAGTATTGGTAAATATCAAAGCGCCTATAGGATAGAACCCTACTATATATATATAGATATAGATATAGATATAGATATAGATATAGATATAGATACAGATACAGATATAGATATAGATATAGATATAGAGATCGATTATAGACCCCTTTAACGGACCCCCTAAAAGGAACCCTATTCTAGTTATAAAAGCCCCTATAACACCTGAACTCAGGGTTTCTGAATATTAAACCCCCTACAGTAGCCCCTATAGTAATCCTTATTGACCCCTGTAAAAGGAACTCTTAAGGGAACCTTTAAGTAATTTATCTAGGCCCCGAAATTATCACCTGTATTGGTAAATATTTAAGCCTCCACAGTATAGAACCCCACTATAGATCCCTTATAGACCCCTTTAATCGACCTCCGAACCCTATTCTAGCTATAAAGGCCCCCAAATTATCCCCTGAACCTGGGCCAAGCACCAAAGGACATCCTCGACAAAAAGCCGCCGACCCTTGCACGTCAAGAGCCTTCCCCAAGGGTCCAATGAAGGGGATCTATAAGGGCCCCTTTAACGGATCTATAGGGTGTAGGGTTTAGGGGACTCTGGGTGTCCTTTCCCTTTCACCGTGAGCATCTCAACTCAAAGTTATGATCCGCAGGCGGCGTTGGACTCCAAGCTCGCCAGGCATCTCGTTTCCAGACAGGTAAGATTACTAGCAAACTGCAGTTCTCCGGCGTCACGGTGCGACTAAACCCTCCTAAACCGTGTCTCCAGATGCCATCCACAAGAGCCGAAGATGCATCTCAGACCCAGACATCCACGGAACATCCTTACCCGAGTCTCCATGGACACCAAGACCGGAGGGTCTGTGCTGTGAACACTAAGCTAACTAAGATCCCAACCCTAGAAGCCGACGCAAACTCCCATGCTTCAACCCTCATGTCAGGGTTTATTAACTGTCTGGTCCTTAGTAGGGAATGGGGGAATGGGTTATTGGGATTACTTTAGGGGATCTTAAGGGACTATCATAGGGATCCATTCCCAAAATTCCCTGCTAAGAACCAAAGAGTTTAGATTAGGGGGTCTGTGGACTCACCGGCAAGGCACCGTTGAGACCAGGTAGTCGTAGGCGTCGCCGCGCAAGCACGCCATGGAGGGCAGGAATGCATCCAGGTGTGAGATAGCCTCAGGAGCTGAAACACAACCCGTAATTCCCCTAAGGGTCCATGTAGCCATATAGAGATACATGGGCCCCAATGTAACTATATAGGGACTACATTAAGGCCAATGTATATACTATAGGAGTACATGGACCCTTAGGTTCAATATAGACAAAGTCGTATTTCTACTACGACTCAGGGTGCTTAAGGGTTTAGGGACTTGCGGGCTCTAGAGAGTCGCACATTTTGGCATGCGTGAATTTTGGGGATGCCGGTTTTGCGACTCTCTGCTTTGGAAAGGCCACATCTGCGGGAAGCCCCAGCAAGGCTTTCTTAAAGCAATGCAGGCCCAAAGCACAAACAGCAGAACAGAGAAGCTTGAGGTCTTCAAGACTATGGCTTTGGTACCGAAAGCGGGCCTGCTATTTGGGCATGTGGACCCCACGGAAGACCTCTGTGGGACCGGATGGATTTAAGACGGCTTAGGGTTCAGTGCTCTGAGTATGAAGCCGCAAGAAACAACACCGCGTCTCCAGGCAAAACAAGAACCCTTTACATAGATATAAAAACCAAAAGAAGCCCGAAGCTCAATGCCCCCGAAGCCTAAACCCTTAACTCTAAACCCTGAAGAAATCCTAAATCATCAACCCTAAATACTAAACCCTGAATCCTAAACCCTGTTAACCCTATAAACCCTAAACTCTGGACACTATAGACCCTGTAAACCCTACATAAGCTATACCTTAACCCCGAAGAACCTACATTTTTAAGGACTTATATAAAGAAATCATAGTAAGGAACCCTAAAAAGGTAGGTTATTCCGGGTTAAGGTAAACCCTGAAAACCCTAAGCAAACCCAGAGCCCTAAACCTAAGTAAGCCCACTGAGACGACACTCAAACCCTGAACGGAAACCTTGCTATAAGCCCTAAAGCCCTAAGCCCTGAAACGTTAGGGTTTTAGGGCTTAGGGTTCCTTAAACCCTAAACCTTATATAAAGCCAGAGCCCTAAACCCCAACTACTGTTGATGGCCAAAATCCTGCATGACCCTAAGGACTCTAAACTATGGGAACTATGGTATATTCCTTATAATGGGTAATGCAGGATTTTGTCCATCAGCAGTATCTCTGCCAGGCTGCATAATTCAGAATAAGGTACCCCTATTTCCGGAAACTCCTAAACCCTAAACCCTATAGATCCCCTATAGGAACCCTTTAAGAGCCCTAAACCCCAACTATCTCTGCCAGGCTGCATAATTCAGGACCTGCTCTGGCGTCCGGCGCTCGCTGGGAGGACAAAGCTTCGAGAAGTCCTGGGGGACAGGGGCACGGGGTGTAGGGTTTAGGGTTTCGGGCTCTACTAGGAGGATCATGGGACTTAGTAAGTGACGTGATAAGTACCATAATTGGGGTTATAAGGGGGACAGGGGCACGCGAGCGCGCGTGAGCTTTCGGGCTCTAGGGGTTTAGGGCTTGGGTATTTAGGGTTTGGGGGTTTAGGGTTTGGGGGTTTAAGGTTTGGGAGTTTAGGGTTTGGGGTTTGGGGGTTTAAGGTTTGGGAGTTTAGGGTTTGGAGGTTTAGGGTTTGGGGATTTAGGGTTTGGGGATTTAGGGTTTGGAGGTTTAGGGTTTGGGGATTTAGGGTTTGGAGGTTTAGGGTTTGGAGGTTTAGGGTTTGGGGATTTAGGGTTTGGAGGTTTAGGGTTTGGGGTTTAGGGTTTGGGGATTTAGGGTTTGGAGGCTGAGGGTTTGGGGTTTAGGGTTTGGGGTTTAGGGTTTGGGGGTTTCGGGCTCTAGGGGTTCAGGGTTTCGGGCTTGAGCTGTTGAGGGGGTGTAAGTTTTTCAGGGTTTGAGACTTAAGGGACTATTTGGGTTTATCAGGGTTCCTTGAGGCTTTAGGGTTCGCTTGAGGGCTCTATGACGGCTTAGGGGGTTCATTCAATAAAGGGCTCCATCGTTCTATGAGGGTTCTGGTGGTTTCTGTCAGGCTCGAGCCTCCAAAACCCCTTAATTAAGGAACATACCATAAAATCATATAAGGGATCCTATTCTCATTTAAGGTATATTCCTTAATTAAGGGGTTTTGGTGTCTGTCAGGCTCGAGTGCTGGGTGGGTCCCTGCAATTGGGGGTTTATGTTTCGGCTTAGGAGTTCAGGAGTAAGGGCTCACAGTGTTGCAGATTTCAGGATAGGATACTTGTTTATTGGAGTTGCCGACTACCCAGAGCCTCCAAAACCCAATAATTAAAGAATATACCTTCAAGTATAATAGGATCCCTAATATGATTTAAGGTATATTCCTTACTTAAGGGGTTTTGGAGGCTCCGGGTATGGTCCCGAGCATGCTCCTGAAACCAACTTGCCCGCGAAACTGTCTGTCTGGTCTTGCGAAGGGCCGCGTCTAAATGCCAACTTGTGAACTAGATCAGCTAGGTGGGGCTTTCAAAGCCTTTGAAAAATATTATTAAATAAGATCTTCTTAAGCCCAATAAGGGAAAATATAAAATGTCCCAAAGCCCTACCTAGTCAGGGTTCACCTTGTTGTGTGCGGGAACAATGAGAGAATGCTAGCTATTCGGGCCCCCCCCATGTTACTTGGATCCAGTGCTGTCCCTAAGGGTCCATGTGCTGATATAGTATATACATTGGCCTTAATGTAGTCCCTATATAGGTACATTGGGGCCCATGTATCTCTATATGGCTACATGGACCCTTAGGGTGTATGCTGCTCATGTACTAAACAGGGGTAGTGGCGACCTGCTGCCACACCCGTGCGGCACTCCCAGACTCCCGGCCCGTTTGGACATGTCTAATCTCAATCTCAAACGGTTACTTCTGTAAGCAGAAAACCTAGAATGTGCAAGCATTACGGACAAATCTTGCAAATGGGCCTGAGGGATACTTCGTGGAAGGTTCAACACATGCATGACATGTAGCCGGCCTTGCTCCTAGGGGACCCCAAACCCTAAAACCCCAAACCCCTAAAACCGTCAACCCTAAACCGTTACAAACCCTAGCAACAAAACATCTCACCACGGTCCTCGCTTTTGCTGAGGCCGCGCAGCGCAAGGATCACGAGAGCAGCTGTGAGCTGCTCTTGCGACATCCTGCGACTCTCATCTTGTCTTTTTCTGAAAATGCATTTCATTAAATTTCATATGCACCTGAAACACACCAGCGGTTTTTTTCTGAGGGAAGGGTGGGGGCTCGTCATCGTAAGGATCGTACTGTTTGTTTCGAGCTGATTGATCGGGCCGCTGAAGCTACCGTGGAAGAGGTTAAATTTCCTTCTGTCTTACGGTTTCCCTGTCGAGAAATGCAATGCCGTTCCGAGGGACCTGTAGAAGAACTCTCCCATAAGCGAAGAATGTACGTAGCCTAAATATGGTCCTAGGGACTTGCTGCCTAAAGGCAATTTCTCTTGTCTGATAGTCCTGAAGTATCAGCCCCACATCCCGAATATCAGACAGGTCCCAGATCCTGAACAGAAGCTTGTAACCACAGAGCCCACTGATACTGTAGTTGATGAATATCTTTTCAAGCACACAGACTTTCCTAAGGTGCACTTGCTTGATTAAGCCCAACAAAGAACAAGACCACAACAGCAGGAGCGGCGTCCTCTTGATGCCCAGGAAGTCCTGTATAGACCTTCGCATCAGCTAGAGTGCCAGCTTAAACTGATGAGGTTAAACTCTTGGTCCAGACAAGGCCGACCTTGGGTTAAGGTGTAGAAGTCTAGCATGTGCTACGATACTTGGGGGAAAAAACATGAGCTTTGTTTTGGTTTGTGAGGCCTACGACCATCGAAGTCGCCGGTGACCACGGCCGAGAACCGGCCGAAACTCTGCCGAAGACATCTCAAGCCCTCCAGCACTTCCGAAGACTCTTTTCGAGCCTTCCTGGAAGTTTCCGAAAATTAAGGGCACCCTATTTTGGGTGCTTACAATAAGGATTCCACTATTTAGGGTGCTATATCAGGGACAGCCTTCTACTGTTGATGATATAAATCCTGCATTACCTTAAGGACCCTAAACTATGGGAATTATGGTATATTCCTTATTATGGGTCACGCAGGATTTATATCATCAACCGTACCGACACGAAATCCCACAGTTATTGAATCACAGCCCTTGGGAGCCTCCAATAGCTCGTAGAACAGATTAGAAGAAGGCTTCGAGGTATATGGTAATACTATACTTATGATGGGGAACCCCAAGGCATAGTCTTGGCATTTTTTCATGCTATCTGTAATTTCTCAGGCTTCTAAGTTTATCCACAGCCCTACCCCTAAGGATCCAAGTAGTCCTGGCTTATGGATTTTGACACCAAAAAAGGCCCTAAAGTACTAAAGTACTATGATAGGGAGTACTTGGACCCTCAAGGTTCTGTAATCCTAGAAACCCTAAAGCCTAAATCACAACCCAACCCTCCCCAATGGGAGTACTTGGACCCTCTGGGTACATGGGAGTTTCCGAAAATAGGGGACCCCGAAATAATACCCTAAACAGTAGGATCCTTATTGTAAGGACTCCCAAAATAAGGTACCCCTAATTTTCGGAAACTCCGAAACCCTAATTAAGCCCTATAGATCCCTTATAGGAACCCTTAAAGGAACCCTTATAGATCCTATTTAAAGGTACCACCCCAATTTTCAGAAACTCCCACATTCAGCCAGGATGCCGGAATGTCCTCTCGACCAGCCGCGTCTCTGCCTTCTTCTGGCTTGCCACCATGCTTGTGTAGTCATCCTGGCTCAAGCCAGAGAGCCCAATACTCCTACCTTAAACTATAAGGGGCCGGATATTATGATTTAAGGTATGTCCCTTGTGTAGTCATCCTGGCTTTAGAGTTCAGGGGTTTAGGGGTTGAGGGTTTTATGGGGTTAGGGGTTCAGGGGTTTCAGGGTTTAGGGTTTTAGGGTTTCAGGGTTTAGGGTTGAGGGCTTGTGTAGTCATCCTGGCTTAAGCCCTACTTGGAGGTTCATGGGTAAGTATAAGGGTTCCTTTACGGGCCCCTTTAAAGTAAAAGCCAGAAAGTTGGAATATGATTATCCTAACCCTTCTATGGTAAATCATAGGGTATCCTACCATGAAACCATATTCCAACTTTCTGGAGTTCCCTGTAAAGGGATCTTTGGGGAGTCTGCAGGGGTTTAGGGTTTAGGATCTTCTGTAGTCATCCTGGCTTTAGGGTTCAAGCCCGTTTTAGGGGTTTAAGGGTTCCTTCAAGGCTCCCTTTAAAGGGGTCTATAGGGATGCTACAAGGGTATAGGGCTTAAGCCCTACTTGGAGGTTCACGGGTAGTTAGTAGGGGGGTTATACGGAAGGAAAGTGTAGCCATAACCCATACTAGCTTGTGTAGTCATCCTGGCTTATCTAACCAATGGTTTTGGGGTTCCCTTGGCTCTTTAGCTCCTTATTAAGTAGGGATTATCATCACCCCTGGCTCCTTAGCTCCTCCAATATCAATGGTTAGTTATTGTTTTGAACTCCTTTTCTCCGGTGCCCCAAGGTCCCGAGAGGCTTCTACAGCCGGGAAGACATGGCACAAGTCATCCTGGCTTTAGCGTTCAAGCCTCTTTAAGGGTTTAGGGGGGCTGACGGTCTAGGGGTTTAGGTTGGAAGCTGCCCCCACCCTGTAATAGTGACCATAAGGATTATATATATATATATATATATATATATATATATATATAGGGGCTCAGAAGACTCTCACAGGGAGAGATTGCTCTGCCCCCAGGTGCTTTAGAAGCACGATAGGCCCAGGACCGAGCCATACCGGCCTCACCGTCTTGGCACAGGCACTCCCGGCGAGTGCGCTCGCGAGCCAGAGCCCGGATCTGGAAACAAAGGCGAGCTGGTGCCCGACCTGCCGCCCGTGATCTACTCCTTCTTGCTGGACATCACAGCCAACCGGCGTACAAAGAGCTCACCCTCCTGATGGGTAGAGGAGACCGCCGCAAACCTGAGCAGTGGAAGGAATGGAAGGAGGACGAAGGGCAAGGGCGAGGTCGCCACGATGGTGGTTGGGACTACTCCTCGGAAGCTTATGGCTGGTACAAGCAACCAGCCCGACCGAAAGGCCCCGGCAAGGGCAAGAATGGTTTCCCCTCCTTCGAGATGATGGAGGGCACCCAACGAAAGGAAGACCGGCAGCAGGCGGAGAAGGAGCCCGACATGCTATCGACGCAGAATGCCGCGGGGGCATTGTGCAAGACGGTGCAAAAGACGGTGAACACAATCCGTCGCAACGAAGGCAAGATCCGCCGAGCCGACGAGGACATCCAGGACCTGCAGGAAAAATGGCGGCAATACGAGGCGGAGCTGAAGCAGACCTTCGCCAAGGAACGCAAGAGGTTCACGGAGAAGCTCGACAAGATCCGGCAGGAGAAGGAAGACTACCAGGACAACTTGACGAGTGCGTTGAGCGACTTGCAGAAGATCCTCGCGGGGGAGGAGCCGGAGCGGGAGAAGACCGCCCAGCAGATCCAGATCCCCCAGGATGCGCAGATTGCCTGGGACGAGCTCATGGCCGAGAACCAAGACGAGCACACGGGCATCACGGGGGCGATCGAGACGGCGCTGGCCGGGACGGCAATGCTCCCGCAGCGGACCAAGGACCACCTCCTCAAGATGATCAAGGAGCACCAGAATGGAGATGCCGATGCCAGGACGCCGGACCGGAGACCCCGCAGAGATCAGGCCACCCCGCCGGACAAGGAGTACAAGAAAGAAGGCAGCCACAAGGGAGGTCCAGCGAATGTCTACCCGGGGACAGAGCCACCGCCAGCTCCGTATATGGCGTCCCCTTCCACTCAGACAGGGATCCCGGTCACGGCCAAGGACAGACACAAGCCCCCGCACCGGGGGGCCAGCCGAGTGGCTCTCAAAGCCCAGGGTCGGGCTCCAGCGGCCCCAGCGCTGGGAGGCACCCCTCTGTCCGAGAAGCTGGAAAGGAGCCGGGACAAGGTGGAGAACGACTTGACAATGCACCTATCGGACAGCGAGGACGAGAAGGTTGGCAACCTGACGGCCAATGGTGCAGGAGGTATGGACTGAGCCTGGAATGGCTCGGTGAAGATATGAACTGGCATTTTGCCAGGGACCCTCAGCCTGAGGGGTTCCCAGGACCTTATCACCTGGCCACACCTATGGCCCCAGCCACGATGGCAAGGGAATGGTGTTGGCGATGCGGCTTTTTCGGTTTGTCTGCAACAATTTTGGAAGGTAATGAGACTGAGACGGTGGACGGCGAGGTGAAGACGGACTTGATTGCCCTCGCTACCAACTACAAGTACTACGACCTCCTGGACTACCTCACCATGATCTTCAGACTGGTGTGGAGAACGATAGAGAAAGGGATCTATCAAGCCCACATGGAGGCGATGGGAATCGTGCTGGCACAAGCCGGCATCTGGCTTGGAGCTCTCCTCTCGCTGCTTGGTGGCGGCCGCTGGCGAAGAAAGAGCTGGCCTGCGAAGATATGTTTGGCAATGGCTGTGCTTCTGACTCCGGGAGCAAAGGCCACTCGGGGCCACGATGGCAGGCCTACCTGGCCTAGGATCCCCCGCACTTCGGAGTTCCAAGCTGAAAGTGTGGATGATGCCGAACAACTATGTCACGCTTGGCAACGACACATTCTGTCGAGCCCACTCCTGCACTCTGCCGGTGAGGCCCCGGACCCAGAGTTTACAATCAGACCTGGACAGGGGGCAGAAATCGGACCACCTGCGATCCACATTTCCTTCTGGGTGGCTACGGTCCACTATGAGCCGGAGATGGTGGACATTGCGGTCCCCTTCCCCCTCACTGAAGACCGGCTGAGGACCCTAGCAGTCGAGGAGACCAGCCACTTTCCACGTTGGCATCCGGTCCTAACGTGGCCCCAGCTATCCTCCGACTACGCCAGCACAGTCCTCGTTCCGCCCTGGATCCTTTTATCAGGACGCTATGTAATGGTGGCGGACCTCACTGGCATTGGTGGCGGTGCCTACACTGTCTACTTCGAGGCGATGGTCAGCAAGGCGGCCATGATGCGCGAGGTCAACATTGCGGCGAGCGAGCCCTATGAGGTCTTTGTCTTTGGCGACTTGGCGCCCCTAACTGAGGGCGAAAGAAGGCAGCCCATCCAAGGGGGGGTCATTAAGATCATGCCCCGAGGGATGGCAGTCGACTGGGCCACGGACCTGCAACCAAGACTCAACGACCCAGGGCAATGGAAACCGGCTACGGACCCGCCAAGACCAGCACATGGGATATTCCTGGCATATCAGGACACGGAGGCTCAGATTGTCAACATGGTGCTTCGCAGTGATCCCAGAGGCCCCCGACAGATAGCTGGCGATACCTTGGGGCACGAACCCGAGGACATCTGGGTCCTGGCGCCCACCGAAAGGCCGCGACACATGGTCGACAAAACCAAAAGGGTGAGATCGATCTTGGCGGTGATTCCGGAGCTCACCCACCCACGTGCTACCACTACGATCGTGTTCGTTGACCTGCGTGGTGTCGGTAAATGGCCGCAATGGCTCGCAGTTGAGGGACAGACCTTCGACCCCATGCCATACCTGGATTCGCTTCACCTCCCATACTTCGACAACTGGTCCATTGTCGTACGAGGAGGAAAGAAAACGGGAAATGGCATCGAGCTCGAAGTG